TTTAGGAACGGTGCTTTGTTTCTATATATATATATAATATATATATATGATATATATAAATATATATATATATATATATATATATATATATATATATATAATATATTATATATATATATATATTATATATATATATATATATATATATATATATATATATCTTAATATTTTTACTCACGTCTATTTTTAATTCAACCACCTCAAACACATTCTCTATCCAAAAGACTTTCTCAAGTGTACACCTAGGCCTGTTCCATCCGGGCCGCCCCGACCGCCGCCCGGCCCGGAATCCGGCCAGGCGGGCAAAACCGGAGCCGGCGACCGGACCCGGGTACCCGGCCCGACCCGCGGCCGGTTCCGGGCCGACCGGTTTTTTTTTAATTTTTATGCAAATGTTTTTAATTTTATTTAAATTATAAAAAAACAAAAATTAATAAAATAATAATTTTATTAATCACTTAAAATGACAAAAATTATAATAAAAAATTATAAAAATAAATTCTTATTAATAATTAATATCATTTACAAATTACAAGTATAAAATTTATTTGGAATTCATCGCATCACATATGATAAGTACATCCCAACTAGGTTTTTTAAATTTCTTTTCTTTTCTTTTTTTTGATAAAAAATTACTAAAAATTATTTAATATTATTATATTTATATAATATGTATTAGTATTACTCAAATTATTATGTAACTATATATTATATATACATATATATATGTAAAATATATTGTATATATTTATAAGTTATAACTTGAGAGAGAAAGAATCGCATAAGTAGCCGTTGCCCGTTGGGCCAATGGGGAAGAAGTAACCGTTGTAATATACCATACTTATATATACTATATACTAAGAGAGAGAGTATACACACACACACACACACACACATATTATACATATATAAGAGAGAGTATACTTATATAAGAGGGAGTATACATATATAAGAGAGAGTATACTTATATATACTAAGAGAGAAGTATATTATATATATATATATAACATGCATATATATATATTATACATATATAAGAGAGTATATACTTATATATACTTATATATACTTATATATACTTATATAAGAGAGAGTATACATATATAAGAGAGAGTATACTTATATATACATATATACTAAGAGAGAGAGTATATACATACATACATACATACATACATTATACATATATAAGAGAGAGTATTCTTGTATAACTTATATAAGAGAAAGTATACTTATAATACTTATACATATATATACTATATAAAGGAGAGTATACTTATATATACTTATATACTAAGAAGAGTATATATATACACACATATGACATATTATACATATATAAAAAATATATTATATATACATATATTATACATATTATAATATATTTATATATACATATATTATACATATATAATACATATAAAAAATAAAAAAAATAAAAAAATTAAAAAAAATTCACTATTCCGGGCCGGGCCGGGCCCGGAGCCGACTTGGCCCGGGTTCTCGGGCCGCAGCCCGGCTGGGCCCAGGCCGGCGGGCTTTTTGGACACCCTAGTTACACCCATTTATTTTTAAACTCACCTACTTTCAAAAAGATTCCACATATTAGTCAAGGTTTTACGCTTTTTTTTAACTTACCTGCTTTTAAAATCACACTTAAAAATAAAAATACTTCACCAATTATTTATATGATGTTTGTAATCTCAAAACACAATATCAACAATGGGGGAACTAAATGAAATTTTGAAGATGTCATGACCTTAGCGGCTGCACAGGTGAGGGGCCCATATTTATGGCAAACTTCGACATAAGTTGTTCATCGTCGAGCCGATTGAACTCGAGGCGTCGATTATTACTCTAAATGGCTAATATATTTTCCTGAGAATTTTGATTTTGCCAAGAACCGCAGATGGTTATTGACATATCAGTCTTAAATGCCTATTATATAAGTCTTAAATCCTTGTTTTCTCTTTAGAGGAACTTCTGGCAGCCTAAAAAAGCAATTATTGGTTTCTAAAAACTAATGGGTCAACTATGTTGGGGAATTTTGTCCCCCAGCATACTACTATAACTCTGCAACTCAGAAGACGAGTCACAATCACAAGACAGAAAATAAACCAACAATCAAGAAGAAGTATACACTAAATTTACATGGCTCTGTCGACCAACTTCGACTTACATCCACGGGGCAACAATACGAGAAATCCAATATATAGTCAGGGAGAACTACAAGAGGAACCATCAACTTTCATCTCTTAAC